ATGATTAAATTAATAGGAAGGAGCTTCTCTAAATTGAACAGTAGCTCTGTTTATAAAAATATTTTTAACTATTTCAATCATATGGCTTGAAAAGTTTATTATTTATTTAGCATATTTGGAAATTATCTTAAAGTTGTATTATTACCAAGGCTACCTTGAAACACTCCTTTTCTTGATTTCTGACAACACTCTTAGATTTTCTTCCTGCCACTCTAGTTACCACTTAGTATTCATTATCATCTTCCCTCTCTCTCTCTCTCTCTCTCTCTCTCCCCCTCCCCCCCCCCCCCTCTCTCTCCCCCCTCCCCTCTCTCTCTCTCCTCTCTCCCTCCCCCCCCCTCTCTCCCCCCCCCTCCCCCCCCTCTCTCTCTCTCTCTCTCTCTCTCACCTGGCAAGGCTGTAACTTCTGGGTCGTGCTTCTGTCTCATCACTTTGACTATAGGTGATCTCATACATGCTCTCAGAGTTTTGATTTCCATCTGTGTGTCTATGTCTCTATCTACCTGTATCTCTAGGTTAGTTAGTCCACACCTCTCCTAGCTTCAAACGTACCCATATACCAACTTTTACTGACATCTCACAACTACAGTATCTGATACCATACATGTTCAAAACCAAACTCATGATCTTTTCCATAAAACCTGTCTCTCCTTCAGTTTCTCCTATCTCAGAAAGTTTACTTTCATTCAGTTCCTAATACAGAAATCAGAGAGTTATTCTTGATATCTTCCTACACTGACACCGTCCCCCATTCCAATCAGCGTTCAGGTTTTACTGGTTTTACTCTGCCATACCTATCCTCGAAGCCATCAGCAGTATTTGCCTAAACTATTGCAGTAGCTTCTTACTGGTCTTTGCTTTTCTACTCCTGCCCTTGTTTAGTTTTATCTTTCAACTTTTGCCCCTCTCCAATTTTATCTTTGCATTGCAGAAATGTATCTTAAAAAATGTAAATAAAAAAAAAAAGTGTAAATCAGGGACTTCCCTGGTGGCACAGTGGTTAAGAATCTGCCTGCCAGTGCAGGGGACACGGGTTTGAGCCCTGGTCCAGGAAGATCCCACATGCCGTGGAGCAACTAAGCCCGTGTGCCACAACTACTGAGCCTGTGCTCTAGAGCCTGCTAGCCACAACTACTGAGCCCACGTGCCTAGAGCCCATGCTCTGCCACAAGAGAAGCCACCACAGTGAGAAGCCTGCACACCACAAAGGGCAGTAGCCCCTGCTCTCCACAAGAGAAAGCCCGCGCGCAGCAACGAAGACCCAATGCAGCCAAAAATAAATAAATAAATTTATTTTAAAAAATGTAAATCAGATATAGTGGCTCTCCGTTCAATCCCTTCATTAATTTTCCATGATAGGATAAATCTTTTGAAGTAGCACATAGCCTGCATGCGCCTGCCTTACCTTTGACCATGTATTCACTGTTACAGCAGCTGTACTGAACTTCTTTCAGATCCATGAACTCGCCTAGATCTCCCTGCTTTAGAATATTCCCTCTGATTGAAAGTATCACTCCTGTGCCCCTTTAAATTTTAAAAAATTAGTTATGAATTTATTTCTGTGATACATGAAAATGGCAAAAAGTGCAAACAGTACAAAAGATAAAGAGTGAAAAGTGTCTCCTCCATTCATGTTTTCCTTTTTTTTTGTGTGGTCAAATTTATGTCTTTATTTTTAAATGGCTCTCAGGTTTATTTTTGAACTTTCTTGTAGTAGTGTTTTTCTTTCAAGGCTTTGATCAACTTGGAATTTATTTTAAGAGGTGAGGTAGAAAGTCAGCTATATTTTTTTCTAGTTATTTACCCAGTTAACTTAATATCATTTATTGAATAACTTATCTGGTTTTCTGTTTTAAAGTGCCACCTTTATCTTATACTAGGTTCCTGTTCTATTTGAGTCTATTCTGGTGTTCTTTCTGCTCATGCACTATACCAAACTGTTTCTGATAATGTCGCTTTAGAGTATTTTTTAATAGGTGGCAGAGCTAATCCCATCTTATAACTCTAGTTTTTCAGAATTTCCTGGCCGTTTTTTTTTTAAATTAATTTATTTATTTTGGGCTGCGTTGGGTCTTTGCTGCTGCGCACGGGCTTTCTCTGGTTGTGGTGAGCAGGGGCTACTCTTCATTGCGGAGCACGGGCTTCTCATTGCGGTGGCTTCTCTTGTTGCGGAGCACGGGCTCTAGGTGCACAGACTTCAGTAGTTGTGGCACACGGGCTCAGTGGTTATGGCTTGCGGGCTCTAGAGCGCAGGCACAGTAGTTGTGGCGCACGGGCTTAGTTGCTCCGCGGCAAGTGGGATCTTCCCGGACCAGGGCTCGAACCCGTGTTCCCTGCATTGGCAGGGGAATTCTTAACCACTGCACCACCAGGGAAGTTCCCCCACCCTGGCTCTTCTTAAATGTTCAGTTTCCTATATGAACCTTAGAATTAACTTGTCTAGTTTCTAAAAAATCTTACTGATATTTGTGAGGATATAAATTTTTAGATTAACATATGAACATTTGGTGACTTTACAGCCCTAGAGTTTCCTGTCTAAAAATTGTTTTTTCCATTTTATCGAGTCTAAAATTTTTCCTTATTACCATTTTAAAGCTTTCTTCATACATATTTGTACATAACTTTTGATTTATTCTTGAATACTTCATCATTTTTTGGTGTCATTGTAATGGAATCATGGCATTTTTAAAAAAACTGATTGTTTTTTGAATAGAGGAAGGCTATTAATTTTGAGCCCACTCTTTTTGCCACTTTCATATATTATTTGTAATAGATTTTTAATTTACTCATGTCCCCTCCTCCCAGCCCACACTCTTTATTTAGCTAACTTGCATTCTTCCTTAAGATGTCAGCTTAAAGTTCACTTTGCAAGAGCCCTTTCTCAACCTCCACATCTCAAGGAGATCCCCATTTTAATCCTCTTGAAGCATTCTGTACTTCTCCTTTAGAGTGCTTATTGCAGTTCAGAGTTTGAAATTTTACAGTTCATGGTGGAATTTTGTTACTGTCTAACACCTCTCTTTCCCGCTATCTTGTAAAGCTCCATACGGGTGATAATTGTGCGTATTTTCTTCCTCACCCTGTCTTTAGTGTCGAGCACTGTTCCTACGTGCAGGAGATAGTAGATACTGCTTGGCTTATTAGTTGATTGGTTGGTTGGTTGGTTGGATGATTGGATTGTCCATTTGTGGAAATTTCCCTGTTTCTAATCTTTCAGTCTCTTAGCTTTATTTTGAGTTCCACCACACTTTAAAAATCACCATTGCCTCCTTAGGAACTTTGACAGACTTTTGGTATGGTTTTTCAGACATGGTTCTCAAAGACAAATAGTCTAGGCATATCAGTTGATGTATTCACTGTTTAGTTAATTGACCTTGATTGACTTGGCATTTTCCTCTTTCAAACTCGTTGTTTTTAAGTGGTCTGAAATGTGATACAAGTGAAATTGCTCTGGCAATAATAATAAAAAAATTCTTACTATTTTACCTTTTTATAATATCACTTCAAAGTCCTGGAGTAATTTAAACTTTTTACTTTCATATTGCAATTTGTGGGATTGAGACTTAGATCAAGTACCAGCTGTTATAAAGCTGCCAGTGGCTGGGCTGGATCTAGATTTCTAAGTTTTCTGACCCCTAGTATTCCCTCTACCATGGCATCTTCCACATTGCTGTAGTAGTGTTACCTATCTTCCAGGAATGTATTTGTAATATTGCAAAGAGAAAATATCTCACGTCTCTTTGCTCTACCAAGGCAAATTTTATATGGTTAACTAATGACATGATATTTTGAGACTTTTCCCCCTGTCAGTATAGCTTTTTTTCCTTTTAAATAGACTTTTTCTTTAAGAACAGTTTTGGGTTCCCAGCACAATTGAGCAGATTGTGCAGAGAACTCCCATATACCCCTGCCTCGCCCCTACACTTAGCCTCCCCCGCTATCAGCATTCTGTACCAGGGGTGATACATTTGTTATAATTGGTAAACCTACTTGGACACATCATTATCACCCAAACTCCATAGTTTACATTAGGTTTCACTCATGGCGTTGTACATTCTGTGGGTTTGGATAAGTGTATAATGTCATGTATCCACCATTATGGTATCATACAGAAGAGTTTCACTGTCCTAAAAATCCACTGTGCACTGCCTTCCTCCCCACCAACTCCTGGCAACCACTGATCTTTTTACTGTCTCCATGGTTTTGCTTCTTCTAGAGTGTCATGGAGTTGAAATCATACATTATGTAGCCTTTTCAGATTGGCTTCCTTCACTCAGTAATATGCATGTAAGTTTCCTCCATGTCTTTTCATGACTTGATAGCTCATTTCTTTTTAGTGCTGAATAACATTCCACTGTCTGGATGTACCACAGTTTATTTATCCTTTTACCTACTGAAGGACGTCTTAATGGTTTCCAAGTTTTGGCAATTATGAAAAAAGCTGGTATGAACATCCATGTGCAGGTTTTTGTGTGGACATAAGTTTTCATCTCATTTGGGTAAACACCAAGAAGCATAAATGCTGGATTATATGGTAAGAGTATGTTTAGTTTTGTAAGAAGACTAAAACTGTCTTCCAAAGTGGCTGTACCATTTTGCATTCCCATCAGCAGTAAGTGAGAATTCCTGTTACTCCACATCCTTGGCAGCATTAGGTGTTGTCAGTATTCTGGATTTTGGCCATTCTCATAGGTATGTAGTGGTATCTCGTTTTAATTTGTATTTCCTTCATAACATATGATGTGGAGCATCTTTTCTTATGCTTATTTGCCATCTGTAAATCTTTGGTGAGGTGTCTGCTTAGGTCTTGTCCATTTTTTTAAAAAATCAGGTTGTTTTCTTGTTTTTAATCTTTTTAATATTCTCTTTTACAGTTGTTTTTTTCTTGGGCACCATCTAGTGAAAATACACAGAAAGCTTTGAGGTCATTGAGAATGATTTATTTTTTCAAAGGAAAACTCCTCTCTTTCTGTTTTTCTCCTTTTACCCTTGTCTTTCAGTTATACCTGCCGCCACTTGCGGAGATATGTTTGTGTGTTGGACAAACTGTATTTTCCCCACTCTCACTGCTCTACGCTTCAGCATTGCTTCTCGACCCTCAGTGACAATGGAGAGGAGCTCTTGTCTTTAACTTGCTCTCACATTCTCAGATCCTATGCTTCCAGGTTATTAACCTATGCTGTCCATTTACTGCATGCTGCATGCTGTATATTGACTGATAATTGCATGCTTTAATGGGATACATGTCAATTAAATGATGAAGGAGGAAATTTATATTTGAAGTGATACTAAATAATTCTTTTAAAAAGTGGCTGGGATTTTTTTTTTTTTTTAAACAAATGTCTTAAGTACTTTGTTATGTTTCATGGGAGAGAGAAAAGCTTTTAGCCACATAGTTGTCATGTAAACTTGACAGAATTTTTCTCTACTTTGCTTCGTTTGGAAATCTTTAGGCTTAACTTATAATAGTTGGGAGGGCTATGCCTGGTTTATATATGAAATTACATATGAATTTTGAGGTCTCTTTCTTGCTCTGCTCGTATAGCTGAGAGCTGGCTGTGAGGCTGCACCCGTGTTTTGATAGAGGCACATTCAGCTGAGCAGGTTTGATTTTATAAGAAGGTAGAAATTATTCATTGGGATTTTGTATTTCTCACTCATTTCATTTACATACAGAGGGGTTATAAAATCAGCAAGTTGCAACGTGTCATAGATGAATCTAGATTAAACTTAATGGAGATGGGAGCAGTAAGAAAGAGACAAGCCATCAATCTCAAGTATCAGAGAAAATCAACTCCTGTTGTTTAGTAGAGGGGCAGTATGACATTACTGCTTTGTACCTGAAGTTGACATTTCTAACACAGATTTTCTGTAAGTCAGAGATGACGCACACCAGCACTATACTGTTAGCCAAGTATGATGCCTGAAGGCAGTGTCTTCGCTGCCAGTTGATTTAGAGGAAGACGGAAAAAACTCCATGACCACCTTCTAGAAAAGAGCAAGCATTTAGAATTAAAATAGATCTTTTCAGGTGAAGACGCATAGGAAAGCTTCAGACTACACAGTATATCTAAGTGAAAACACTTTGATTATTAGGAATTGAAGACAGTGTGACAACTAAGGTGACAGATCCTTTTCTTGGTAGCAGAAAAATTTTAGACTCTCATAATGATGTTGGTCAGACTCTTACTGAGTCAGTAACGACACTTTCAAGAAATGAAAAAAATCAGATAGAAAAGCAAGTGGAAATAATAGATCAACTCTTACGTGTATAATATAGGAGAATTTATCAAACTAAAGCCAGTGACTTTCAACTGGCTTATAAAGTGAGTGAATATCAGCTAAGTGAATACTCTTTGGACCTGGAGACAGAACTTGTCTGGTTTCAGAGAATGGAGAGAGCAGCTCCTAGTCATTGAACCTCTGAATTGAACACCATAATTGCCCTTGCCCTTGTTTACTAGTGTACTAGTCAGGGTTCTCCAGAGAAACAGAACCAGTAGGGGTGTATGTGTGTGGAGAGAGAGAGACAGAGAGAGAGAATAGTTGAGATTTTAGGGTGAGTCTGAAATTAGGTGGGAATTCAGGTGTTGATGTTTCAGTCTTAAATCCTAAATCCATAGGGCAGGCCAGCGGTCTGGAGACTCAGGCAGGATTTTTATGTTACAGTCTTGAGACAGAATTCCTTCTTCCTCAGGAAACCTCAGTGTTTGCTGTCAAGGCCTTCACCCACATTACAGAGGGTAATCTGCTTTCCTTAAAGTGAACTGATTATAAATGTTAATCACACACCCAAATACCTTCACAGCCACGTCTAGACAAGTGTTTGACCAAACAGCTGGACACCATAGCCTAGCCAAGTTGGCACACAAAGTTACCACCACACTGTGCTTCTGTTTTTCTGTGTGTCTTCATGTGCATCGTATCCGTCCTACCAGACTGTGAGCCTCCTGGGAGTGGACACTGAATCCTATTCCTTATTATACATCTTATAGCACCTCATGCCTGGTGCATTGTTCATTAATACTAGTTGCAGCAGGTTTTACCATCTGCCACGTGTGACAATGTGCCACTGTACTCTGGAGTCACACCCCTCACCTCACAGGAACAGACAGGAGACAGAAATACACAATCGACTGGGAAGATGAAAGAAAACAGAAGGAAAAGGATGAGGAAGACAAAGTAGGAAGGAACAAAAGTGAAAAGTTGACAGGAGGAAGATGAAGGTACCACATGGCTAACGAAAGCAGCGTGCAATTCCCAAGCCCCCTTCAGCTAATTCCTGGCAGAGTTAAGTCCACCCTCAGTTTCTGAGTTGCTGTAGCATTTCTCTCCCATTTTCCTTGTCCTCATTCGCCACCTTTGCTCAAAGGGCCACCTCAGCCCATCCCTACTCCGGGTCCTTTCTCGTCCTCAGGAGGTTGCTCAGTATTCTTAGCAGAGGTTTAAAGCATCAGTCCTCCAAAGGGACTGTTTTTCAATCCAACGTCCTCGTCAGCACTGAAAAGCCTTTAGGACACGTTGGTAAGGAAATGTCAGGCCCAGGTACCTGGGTAAGGAAACATTCTGATGCCAGGAATACTTGCAGCATTTTTGAAATGCTGCCCCCTTGCAAGCCTGTCTCCTCTCTGACATCTCCCGTCTTCGCTCATCTTGTAACAGGGCGTTTGCATCAGAGGTGTGTGCTGTCTTTTGGCATCCAGTTTCTGCCTGGCCCTGTCTACTTTTCCTCAAGTGCAGAGGTTAGGGCCTTGGGCCCCTCCTCCTCTCCCACTGGCTTAACATCCACCACTTGCAGGCTGAGACAGTGGACAGGAAACGCTTCCATTTGGGACAGACTTCAGAATGTGGGCGGGATTCACATAACAGGAGACGTCTGGTCACCTTTGTGTGATGTTCATCTGCAAGTGATGAACATCCTGCATACACAGTAATACGTGGCCAAGTGTGATCTAGTCCCTGCAGTTGAAAGATTTTTCTTTCAGCTATGTTGTATGGAAGGATAAACCAAGCCAAATGTCTGAAAGGAGCAATCTCAGACTCAGTTCACAACCTCAAGTAGCTTTTGGTTATGCAGACTGTTTAAAATGTAATTCAATTCCTAGAGAGAAATATAAGCCTGTTCCTTAGGAAGGAACTTTACCTTAGTCTAACATGAATCACTGCGATGGAAATTTCAGTCATTCTACTGTAAACTTCTTTCCAGTGTAAGAGTTCTTTTTATAGCATCCCTGAGAGAGAGCTTCTGGGTGCTTCCTACTTCGGGAGGTGGTAGGGTTCTTGCTGTTTCATTGTTAGACAGGTTGTCATATGTGAAGTCTGCCTGCCAGTAATTTTCATGTATTGGTCTGGCTCTGCTTGAGAGAAACACGTAAATGTATAAACTTTGCTGCTTATCAGAGGCCTTCCGGTTTTTGAAAACATCTGTCATGACTCCCCTTAAAGCTTTTTCTTTAACTTAAATAGCCTGATTCCATCAACCATTACAGAGACAAATCAGCTTTCGGTTATTCAGCCCTCTTTTTCTTTTTCTGGATAATTATATTTGTCAGCACGTATCACAAAATTTGGTACCCAGAATTGGACGTAATATTCCAGTTGTACTTTATAATTTTGGCCTTTATAAATGAAAACTATATAAATTATAAACTGAATTATAGTTATAAATTATACTCTATTAATTTGTCCTAAGACAAACTACACATTTTAAAGCAGGCACACCTTAGTTCATGTAAAATTCCCAGATCTTTTGCACCTGAACACACATCTTCTTAGACCTGTTGCACATTTAATTTTTTTTTAACCTAACTGCAGGGCTTTACATTTATTCTTAGTTTAATGTATTGATTTTGGCCCATCTTACTCTTAAGTCAAACCTTATGAAGCTAGAAGGCTTTCAGACCTGGTAGCTTCTCCTGTTTATCCACACAAGCCTTGAGAGCAGCTCTCAGATTACTAACCTAAGAGTTGCCATCTGTAGAAATCAAATTTAGAATTTTGAGTGAGCATTTGAGAATTTTAATTAATCACTAGTAACCACAAGTAAACTATATCCTATCAACTCAATGGAATATTTTGCACCCATTAAAAATATTATAAGGAAAAATGAGTAGAAATACGGAAAACATCTGGTACAGTGTTAAGTGGAAAAGGTATATAAAGTTATGTACTGCTGTTAATACAACTGTAAAATTATATGCACGTGGACAAAAACTAGATAATGTATAAAAATAGTTGTGGAACATTAGTAAAATATATATGACATTTCTTTTAAAAGTAAGTTTGCTTATTTTGCAAAATTAAGTTTGCAAAATTAATTAAAAAATAATTTTTTAATTATGCAAATTTAAATTGTAAGTTTCTTCTCTCCCTTTTCTGTGCCCTCTCTCCACTGCCCAAATAAAATCTATGTCTTTGGCTTTTCTTTTTTTTTCCCCCTACCAACATATTATAATGTCATTTTATTAATTGACAAAGACTTGCAGTGTGATTTATGGGAATAGACAGTAGTTCCCTGATCTGTGATCACAGAAAATTTCTCCCATGGCTTATGTTAGAATTTTTATTAATTCTTTATTTTTTTCTTTTTGAGAATGGGCCTGTAATTCTAAGCACAACATTAAGTCATTTCTCTGTCTAACTTTCACATTTAGGAGTGCTTTTACCCTATTTGGTATGTCTTTTATATTGTGGTTTAAAAAATCACATCCAGTGCCATTTTATTGCTTTGAAAGGATTGCCTCTTCAATCTAAATCTAAGATAATATTCTAATGAGTTTCCTCAAGAGAGTTTTTTTAAAATTAGTAGAACAGTTTTGTCATAGTGTATGCTGTTCACTAAATTTGTAATGAATAAATATTTGAAGGCATAGTCATAATTTTTCATGCATATGATACTGTCTTAATAATTCCATTGTGGCTATGTGCTTTATTGATTTTTGTGCCACTTCTGTGGCATGAATGAAATGTATTATCCCACTTAAACCATTACGGTTTCCTTTCGAGTTACATATTCACTACTTGATCTTGTCATCAAGCTTATCCCATTTTCTGTAATGTGGTGTTCAGTCTTAAGATTTATTGCCTTAGTACTCAGTGCTGTATAAATCAAAATAGGACAGGTAAATTCAGATCAGAAAAGTTGGGAGGAATAAACAATAGGCAG